AAGCCACACTGGCATACACGTACATTGGCGCTCATATGACCTTATGCAGTTGCGAGCGCCGTAAAACCCTGTACTATAAAAAAAAATAAAACATACACGTACAGGCTGCCAAGTTGGACACAAAAAGCTGTCCCCGTTGTGTTATGCAAGAAAAATTCTGAAATTATGCAAACTGAGCCCAAAAATGTGAAATTATGCGATTCTGGGGTTTTTTAAATAAAGAATGATACAGGAAAATAATCAGAAATTATGCAAAAAAAAGATCAAATTTTGCTAAATTAAGCGGGGTGCATAAAACCACGGGGACAGAACAAGGAAGGTGGCGGTGTCAGGGGAGAGACAACCACAGGCAGACCATAAGGTGAGACCAGAGATTCATACAGTCACTCCATGGCTTGAGATGAGCACGAGGGGCGGGGAGATGTTTTATTCATCTGGTGGACACTATATGAACAATGATCACAAACACACAACGCATACACCAGCAATTGCACATGCACATGCGTGCAGAAAGAGAGGGAGAGAGAGAGACTGAAAGACAGAGGAGAGAGACAGAGAGAGAGAGGGGGGGCTCATTGTGTCACCCAGTATTGAAAAGACTGTAGACAACTCATTGTGTCACCCAGTATTGTAGACAACTCATTGTGTCACCTAATGCTGTAGACAACTCATTGTGTCACTCAGTATTGGAGAGACTATAGACAATTCATTGTGTCACCCAGTATTGGAGAGACTATAGACAATTCATTGTGTCACCCAATATTGGAGAGACCGTAGACAACTCATTGTGTCACCCAGTATTGTAGACAACTCATTGTGTCACCCAGTATATGGAGAGACTAGACAACTCATTGTGTCATCCAGTACTGTAGACAACTCATTGTGTCACCCAGTATTGGAGAGGTTGTAGACAACTCATTGTGTCACCCAGTATTGGAGAAGCTGTAGACAAGACAACTCATTGTGTCACCCAGTATTGGAGAGACTTAGAAAACTCATTGTGTCATCCAGTATTGTAGACAACTCATTGTGTCACCCAATGCTGTAGACAACTCATTGTGTCACTCAGTATTGGAGAGACTAGACAACTCATTGTGTCACCCAGCATTGTAGACAACTCATTGTGTTACCCAGTATTGTAAACAACTCATAGTGTCACCCAGTATTGTAGACAACTCATTGTGTCACCCAGCATTGTAAACAACTCATTGTGTTACCCAGTATTGTAGACAACTCATAGTGTCACCCAGTATTGTAGACAACTCATTGTGTCACCCAGTATTGGAGAGACTATAGACAATTCATTGACTCACCCAGTATTGGAGAGACCGTAGACAACTCATTGCGTCACCCAGTATTGTAGACACCTCATTGTGTCACCCAGTATATGGAGAGACTAGACAACTCATTGTGTCACCCAGTATATGGAGAGACTGAAGACAACTCATTGTGTCACCCAATTCTGCAGACAACTCATTGTGTCCTCCAGAATTGTAGACAACTCAGTGTGTCACCCAGTACTGTAGACAACTCATTGTGTCACCCAGTATTGGAGAGACTGTAGACAACTCATTGTAACACCCAGCCCTTCATATCGACCACAAAATCTTGAAACGCCTGGCGAAGTTTGAGGCCCCGCCCCCCTTGATACAAAATCAACTACATATACAACAGTGTACAGTGTATTCTGTCGAGTAAATCGATAGATTTTTTTAAAGGAATCCACGCTCCAAGGCTCCACTCTTCGCCCTGACTCTTTGTTTGGCGGTACAGCGGAATACTGGGGGG